AAGGAAACACACTGCTCGACATTAGGTTGATTGGTGGCATTACTGACTGGTTCAGAAAATAGAAAAAATTGTGAGTAGATTGGCTATTTGGAGCGTTGTAGAGATCGTTTGTTGTCAGGGGAGTGTGTCTGCGGTTAGCAGCATAGACTGAAAGTTTAGGAGAATGAGTTCATGTGGCTGTGGGCCAGGAATATGAGCATGGTTAAAGTCGGTATTACGCAAAGTCGTAGTAGAAGTTGGGTAGCTGCTGTTAGTTGCATTAAAATGGTGAGGATAAGGGGAGTAGAAAGGTTGACTAATCTCAGTTATATTTAATACCGTAGACTTCCTTTTAGGTGATATAAATGCATGAGTAATAGAAGACGCTAGATCAGATTTGATGGAGTGTACGTCAGTCACAGGAATTCTGTTCATTACATTTTTACTCAGAATCTTAGGGTTAGATGGGAAGGCATTATAAGGGTTTTCGATAATTTTAGTATAGCGGGTATGGTTTTTATTGGTTGAGTGCTTTCCAGGTTGTATAACAACTTGAGAAATACTGGATTTAGTATTGGTAATTGTATCAAGCTTCAATTTAGGGTAACTGGGTGGATGGCTTCTTTTAAGGTTAAAGGGGGCTTGTGTTGACATCAGTGGGGCTGGCAGTATCTTTTTGGCGACTGACTTCACCTGCTGGGACATCTTGCTTGGCACGAAGTCGAATTGGTGTCCCATCGTGAATAATACGTATATTTGTAAAGCTGCTTACTTTCCTAAAAAGCTGCTGGCTGTTTACAAAGTGGCTTGCATCCAAAATGCTAATAAATTTAAGCATCATTGGACAGGATGTATCAGATGAGGCAGGCACAATAAGAATCTGGTATTTCTCATGCCTTTAAAACTCTGTTTTTCAATGATTTAATGTTGGCGCTGTCGGGTACATTGAAAACGATAATATTATACTTGCACTGAACGCGCTTTATGCCTTCCATAGGAATATGATCAATAATTCTCTGATGAGACTGTAAAGTCCCGTAGTCAGGATAATCAGCAAGCTTAATCAGATACCTAGGAGGTAAGAGGTAATGGACTAATGGAAGAATGTATTTTATAGCTTATTGGCTTGGATGGATGCGTGTTGCGTAGATAATGAGCTATTTAATTTTCTAAATTCGACATTAGGTTGACGTCCACGTGTAGTTGGTGACCGATGAAAATTTTGACAATGGGGGGGGGATTTATCGGTAACGGTGGCGGTGGTGCTACAATCTACCTTCTGTACCGGCACAGGTGTACTCTGTCTAAAGGCATCCAGCTGAGCAGGACCAGATGATGGTAAATCTGCCTATGTATTGCAAGGATTATCTAAGTCGACGTCTATGGTGACAGAGCACTTAAGAGAGTTGTCGTTTCTTTGGACACAGCCAAAAGAATTGATATTAGTAGGTACAGGTGATAGTGGGACCTTCTGACTGACAGTGCCAAGCAGGGCATTTGGGTGGTGTGGATTCAACCACATCAAAAGAGCTGATATCAGGTCTTCAGCGCCATTTTTTTACTGTTCCAAGTTACTGTTTAGGGTATTACCACATCGAGTATCCAATTTTCGCTGCCCATATTACACTTATGTTTTTTTTGACAAAGCAGCCAAATAGCCTAAGACTCATATATATGCAGTCCAGCAGCTCCACACTTACTGTACACAAAATGCTAATTAAGCTATCAAAGCGTCATGCTTCCTTATCGGCTGAAAACTTCAGCAAAAGACATAAATCTTGTGAGAATAAACAGCGTGGTTTACACCTTTCCCTGATCTGAAAGAGGCTAAATAAGCGCAGGTCAGGTATTTTTACTTCTTCACCGTCTTGTGTAATAAGTGATTTTCTTAGGTATGTATACAGTATTACAGGTTTTGAGACAAGTATTATAGGAGCCTACCAAGCAACAGTGGATCCCTTGATGTAGTTGAATCCACACCGCTCAAATGCCCTGCCCGGCACTGTTAGTCAGGAGGTCCGAAAATACACATAGTCCCACTGTCACCATCGGTCGTGTAGAAAATATGACGCGTAGTTTGCTAGCATTAAAAGTTCTTTGAACTGATTTTCTTAAGTTTTTTCGTAATTATATTACTTGGTATATTGCCCTTCAATTGCAGTCGTACATAAAAGGTTTCTTATTTACAGAGGGAGAACAGTCCGTTTCCGCTTTCTTGGTCATGTGTTTCTTGATAAATTTGTCGGGATAGCTATTTTCAATAAGAGTATCATATATAATGCTCAATTCATCTTGAATTACTTCTTCTGAGCACATAGTCCTAACCCTTTGGTGGAGAACAATTGACTAACACTTATTCTAGTCGTTGAAAACCCTGTTAAATAATGCATTCTTGATTTAGCATTCCATCTCATTTCATTTACTTCGCTTGAGTCCACCAAAAAATCCTGTACTATCAATAGTTAAGGAAGTCTGAGAGATATCATTTGGTAAAATACATTTGAGCACAACATCTTGAGCTATATGAAATATGATCTGCTGCAGATAATGCACTATGAAACGACCAGATAATCCACTGTTTAGTTTCTTCGACATAAGTCTATCACAGAATAATTTTGTTCTATAAAAAACACTCCGTGCATCATGTTATTTACTAAAGTAGTAAATGGATCTGTATGCTTTTGTCGTAGTAATAAACCTTCAGTGAGGAATAGGACTAGCAGAGCCTTAGTACAACTGAGTTCAAAATGAGCTTGATGGTAAACTTTGAAACCTCTTCCATTCAGCATTTGAATGCTTGTTCGTGCAGTTAAACCAATGCATACTATTTTTTTGATTACAGCTTGATTCCACACTGTATTTTTTGATACAGGTGTGGAATTTTCAGCATGTGATGTCGGTAGCCCAAATTCAGCAGGCCGACCATTGATATCAGGTGTGCGTCATCAGGGGATCGAAGCCCAGATCATTTGCATGGTTACGTTTTGAGTTCTCGAATCTCTGTCAAGCTGATTCATAACCACTAGCTACGACGGAAGTTTCTAGCTTCTAGAGTAGAAGAGCCATGGACTGACCGTTGTGAAGTCGTGTATTGACGAAGATTTATCACAAGTATGTAAATCGGCAAATTTATAGTTACCTACATCTTTTAATCGGTTGGTGTTGTCCTTTTGCAAGACAGTATCTGCAACTCTTGGTCTAGGATTCAGTGGGCTGTAAGCACGTCTCACCCGATGAACAACAAGGTCTCACCACCAACTAGATATATTCAGAAAAAGTCTGTAAACCTTGGCTATTTTATGGCACTTTCTGTAGTGGAAGTTAGGCCGCACGACGAAAGATCTTTCACAACAATAGTTCAGTCAGTCGTTACACATTCGTTCTCAAAGACTTTACTAACTCAGCTTACCACATTGCTTCCAATCAACGTTGTAATTAATATTCTCATCCCTCTGATGACATTCTTAGGAGAGGTGAAGTGTCTGTCTTGATTGGAATTGTGTATGAACCATTATTTAAAAATGCGTATCTACTAACTCCTTTATCACAAATTTTTGTCGTAGAGACACTAATCCCAGATATAATTATTTCCTAGATGACCTACGCATACCCACTGACACACTGCTTTGTTCGGTTGTTTGCTGGTTTAAGAGGATTTTTCGATTAATTTAATAGTTGGTGATGGAAATCTTTACAATCTTCCGAGATAAATATACCAGGAGTTTTATATTCGACATATCTGTGGCCTTTCCTAAGAAAGGGGAAAGGAAGTTTTACTTCCTTAGCCGCCGGCCAAGAATAGCTAACATTCTATGGCTATATGGCTTCCCCATACATTGTACAAAGTCGCTTATCTATCCTTGAAGATGCATCGATTATGAAGGGTGCTGATTGATATGTCGTTTACGACTTGCCGACTGCTTGTTCCCAGTTTTCCAAATGTGCTTACATAAGCAGAAACAATCTATGCCAGCTGTGAAAAAGTCGCATCTTGGCTGTTCTCTGCAATATTCACCACTGTTTCTGTCCATTTCACCTGCAACGTAGGGTGCAGTTTTCCCACTATGCATTCCAAAGTACCCAGAGAACTTAAATCTGTTCTAGGGATGTGGAGCAGTTTTCCACAAGGAAAAAGATCCAGATTTTCAGCACTAATGTTAGAACAGTGCCCCTATATGGTTTAGAGTCCAGGAACACTATTCATTCAGAAACATTATCAACAGACTGCAAACTTCCATCAACCGTTACTTCAACGTCCCGATATTGAGGATCAGACCGCTTATCAGAATGGATACGCAATGAGAAATTAAAGCAACGAACCAGGTGAGAAACTTTTAGGCGGATAACTTATAGAAGAAACAGAGACTGGTTAGATGCAAATTAGGGGAGAGTTGAATGAAATCACATGTCACACTCGAGAAGTTGTAAAAGTTCAGCAACTATATTTGTACTGTGTAAACCAAGCTAGTCAAATCTTGTGGGCTAACCTATGACAAACCTTGAAACGGCAATGTATGATGGAGACCATTGCTGGAATTTTTATCATTTAGATTAGTAGCATATAACTAATCTTGTTTTGATTTTCTTAACACGCTGGGATTAATTTAAATAATTTATAATATAACTAATCTGTTCCAGTATAACAGCCAGTCAACAAAACTTGATTTTTTGAAGTGCAAACCTACTAAAGGGAATGGGTTTCTACAATTTTCCACATGCCGTTTGATGACTGATGGCAACAAGTAATGAAGCTTGTTCAAGCCGACTTTCCTACTTAGTACTGTGGATATTCTAACAAATGCAAAATATTCTTTATTTTAAGAGAGTTGGTCTGTTGAGTTAATTCAAATCAAAGCTGTTGCAACTCAGTCAAATGTGTTGTAGGTTTTAAAGCTTTCACAATGGACCTTTATGCACATTGGATGGATATTATATACAAAATCAGGATTTATACTCTGTTTGGAGTAAAGTGTAGATTTACTAATCAACTGTAGAAAACTCTTGAGGTAATTCATTACTATCTCTGTATGTGACCAGTAATCTCACAAATAGTAAAAGAAACATTTTACGTAATAAGTATATTGTACACCGCTGTTGTTTGAAATAATTTTAAACACAACGATAACCAATAATACAGACTGGGTCTACATAAAACCGCAATAAAAAGGCGCTTAATGCATATGCACAGATGCACGCGCACAAAGAGAAGTGCATTCTGATGTAAGGTGAAGGATAGTTTTTGCAATTATTTAGCATATTAAGAAATAATCCTTTTCAAATGTATATGTAGCATGTCAAAAACTGTCAGACCAATTAAGGTGAAAGCAAACCAGGACATGCTCAGGGAACCTAAAATTTTGAAGAAAAGGTCAAGTTGAACAAATTACTGCATATTCTTCATTTAGTTAAAAATTAGCATTGTAACATATAGAAAATCAAAATAAGTGATTCAATGAAGAGACTCTTTTCAACGAATATAATTATCACTCTGTACAATCGCATATATATGGTGTTTTTCTTTTAAGAAATTGTCTTATGGGAAGATTTAAACAAAGGCGTGAATACATAGAATAATAATAGTAGTAGTAGTATGAAATGCAATTAAAGTGTTTGTGATTATGACCATGACAAATTCAGTGACGAGAGTCTTTTCCCGAATCACTTGTTCTGATTTTCTATATATTTTTTTATTCATCTTATTGTAAGTTGACAAATCTATCCAGTCCCATGTTACAAAATAAATATCTTTAAGCTGGGAAAATATGTTGTAATGGATGGTTCATGATGCTTATACTCGTCTCTTAACTTTCTTCTTTGCAATCCATCATTAAAGCATCATTAAAACAAGTTGTACACGTCAGTATAGCAAAATTTATAGCTAATGCATATCTACTTCTTCTCAAGTGCATTCCTGTTGTTTTCTTAACTACCCTTGTAATTTGTTAAATTTTAGAACAGGAATAAATTATAGTATGCGAAACCCTAGGCTTTCGTGATACGTCTTTATAAAGATCATTGTTTGAAATTGTGGGCAAAATGCCACTATATAGACACTGGCCTGTGTAATAAATATACCTAAACAAGGTATACAAGTGAACCCAATACATTGAAAAATTATGCTACTATTCACTTACTTGCAGAACTTTTGGTTGTAGCTGAATTTCCAAACAACCAATATTAACAGGTATTACTAGACTACTGATATAGATTAAGGGTACATAATTTAACATACTTTGGAACAAATGTAAAGCAATCTGTCAGTTAAACTGTTTACATCTACTTGCTAACACCGCATATTCATTGCACATAAATTTATGTGAATTCAATAATTAATCTAATATACAAGGAAAACCCTGAACTGTGTGTTGAGAAGTGATTTGTCCGCGGCCATAAATTTTACCGCTTTTTAATTTATGCAATAACTTGATACACGGTCCATTTCATTCAGTTTTCCTCCTTATTCTTTTCTTTCGAACTCCCTTATACTTCATAAATATTCTGCATTTCCCACTCTTTTGGAGAATATTTGTGTTTTTAGGAGCTTTTAGTTTTAGTGCTAATCATTTCTGAGCGATACTCACCACTTCATTGGTTTTGGACTACGTAATTTATTATTTTCTTTCATAGGTAATTTCGTATATGTTTTGTCATTCACTGATATAAGAACAATTGACCCTATAGACATTTCCATGCTGTTTTTAAAAAGTATGTAAAACTGTACAGATTTGATGTGAGGTTAAAACAGGGACATTCTTTACTGACCTATATCTCATGAGTATATTTTACATTCTAATAAAAAAGAGTTATCAATTTATAATTTCCTCACTGAAAATTGTCACAATCAAATTGGAAAATGCCTGATGTAGTGCATGAATTAGGATAAGCAATTTCTGTACTTGTGGCTCCCTTAATTTTCCCTTGTAAGTAAAATCGTCTAGACGATAAAGGGGTATGAAATGAGCAAATGGGAAATTTGGGAAAAGTACTGAAAAGTGCGTCATTTAACCATTATTCACTCACTATCCCACCACTAGTCATACTCATGTTTTTCCCCACTATTCAGCGTTTTTACCCCATCTTTTCTGATTGAGTTACTGAAATTAATTTAATTTCATCGTTTGCTTTCAAAGTTCCTTTGATTAGCTGGAAAAGACCTGGAATGTCATTACTTATGTTAAAGCTTATGAAGAAAACTTTGCTGGATGACTGAAGCTTTCTCAGGTTTGAATACTCTCTTGTCAGGAGACTGACTCACCTCCCGTTACTCCTGCTGTCTATGTCAGTCAAAGTAGTTAAACAAGTTGGAAGACTGTTGTGACAGCAGACCGTTAGATTACGAAATTACCATATATCACCTGATGTTGTGTAGTTCTAATTATTTATGGGGTAGTTGAGTTCAACCAGTGGGAATCAAGAGAAAAAATTCACATTAGTTCTAAACTGTGTATATGTTTTTGACTAGATAAAAACAAGATTAGTGGTATATTTCCCACTGAAATTTACCTTCAAATCAGTGAGGCTCCTACACTGTAAACATCTGGGTAATAATCTCCAGCTCATTAGTAAATAGCCTTTAGATAAGTTTCTTGAAGTTGTGACAACGAGTCGTAGCAAGTTGGGCCAGCAAAGTTGAGTTTTACGACAGATATTCCCTAATGGTAATGAAACTGTATGCTGAGATAAGAGAAATGAAAATTCACGAGCCTTTGGATTATAACCTAGTGGCTAAACGTAAAGCGTGCTCACTTTGTAATCTGGTGGGCGTTGTTGAATGACCGGTGAACAGTCTCATGCTAGAAAGGATAATCTAACTCGGTTTCTAATGATTCTCTATCTATCTGTCTATTCATCAAGAAAACATTCACATTTCCACTAATCAAGCATCTCAGTTTCAACGAAAGTTTTTTGAGAATATGAATTCCATTTGTGTTCGCAGCTAGAGAAAAGGGAAATATAACATATTGAACGACTTACTTCTCATTGTTGTCGTTACTAAAACAAAAAATTGCGAATAAAATATAGTTGATTCAAAAGCCCATTGAGAGAAGAGATAGGAAACTCACTACAACAGTAATACAATTTAAAGAATATTAGTTGTTTTAGATTTGATACCAACTTGACGCTAGAACACTTCTATCGTTCTAGCTAAACAGTTAACTTCCAACTTCCTAAGTATGCCTGTCAGATTATATAATGTTTGAAAGTGACGCTAGTCAATGCACAACTCCATTCTAAATACATTGGACACTAGTCTTCATTCCAATAGTCTTTAATCACTGTGAAAGAGTAATTTTCTATGCTGCATATGTTCGTTTAATATGGTTTACAGTGGGATAATATGACTAATGGATGAATTTTTATGGTGTATTCATGACCAACAATCATTTCAACGTAATGACAATTTGTTGTATTCAAACTTCATGGTTTTGTTCCCCAAAATCACCTGGTTTGACCGTTACTACGTTTTTTCATGAGATCTCTGATAAATCATCATTAATTATCCGTAGGTTAAGAGTACGTTCAATGCTAAGATTTCCCTCAAAAGAATAACAAGACTTATTTCTTAAGATTGGCTTTGTTGCATATCTCCGCCAACCTCCTGGTCAGTTGCTATGGTGGTTTAATGACAAGTTTCGAATGCTTTTTAAATGAAATTTTGAATTAAAATTTCTTCTCTGTTGTATATTATCGTCGATAGCATTATACTCCTCAACTGAGTTGTATTGTCTGCACGTGTATAAGAAAATCTTGCTTGATGGTGATATCTGCGCAATTATCAAAGGATACAGTAAATTCAAAAGTTAAACGTATATATTTGGATTTCTATGAAATCACGCTGGGATATATTTTGGGGTATTTGCTGCAACGCGCTAATACCGACTGGATAAATGAGACGCCACGTCAAAGAAGGATATACCATATAATGACCCGCTTCCCAATATATCTTTCAAAATATATGAAATTACACACAGGGCTGACACAAAAGTCGATGCCATTTGTGTCAGATGCATATTTACTTATAATGTATCTACTGCTTTATGCAAATGATATCTATTTGAAGAGAATACATAGAAGAATTTCACTTTTGGACAAGCAAATATTCTTCTTCTGCATTTATGCACCGGATGTTGCTCAATTAACAAATTAATTGCATCTTTTTTACTAGATTAGTGTAACGGTTTAAAACCATGGTGACTTTAATTTTACTTTGAACTTTCTATAGTTTGGTTTGTAAGGATTAGTTATGTTTTACGGGTTGATCACGGATTGATATCAGTTAGAGAACCATTGAAAACCAGGGAGTACTGGACAGCTGCTGTTTCATCCTAGTTTGGGAAACATCGGCAGTACGCACCCACTTTGAACGCCTTATTACTGTTAGATTTAGGGCTTCCTTTGAAATGCATGTATCTTTCACTATAAACTCTTGGTTGTATATCACTTTAAAATGAAGCCAACATACTGGTGTAGAAATGGTCGTAATATACAAGGTGAACCGTGCATAAGTCAAAGTATATGATGTACATTTTCCATACAGTATCATTAGAAAAGAGTTAAAATTACTCTTGTATATTCCGAGTGGAAATTACACATAGGGCTGGAGGGAATAAAATTTACATTTGAAGCAGAAAATGAACGAGGAGAATTAACTATGGTAAATTGTAAAATAAGACAAATAGAAGAAGGTGAACTGCACACTGGTGTGTACAAAAAACCAACTCATTCTAATAGATACTTAGACTTTAATTCATCTCATCCGTTAACTGTTAAGGCAGGCTTAGTTAAGTATTTAACAAACTGAGCAGTGGCACTACGTAGCACAAAAAAGACCCAAATGATGAAATGAAACAGATAGAAGAGGTGTTGGTTTTGAATAACTATCCTTTGAAATTCATTAGGAAGATAGAAAAAGGCCAAAGGAAAAATGAAAATAATTGTGAAACTAGTATTAATAACATGAATAAGAGAGAATATAAGTCATCTATAGTTGTACCATATAAAGAGGGGACATCTGAGACCCTACGTAGGATTCTAAGTAAAGCAGGAATTAGGGTGGCATTTAAACCTACAAACTCACTCAGGGACAAGCTCTGTAGGTTAAAGGACCCAGTTGACCCAATTAGACAAAATAATATGATTTACAAAATACCCTGCAATGACTGTGAGTTGGGTCAACTACATAGGTCAAACTAGTAGGTCAGGGGTAGTCAGATTGTCAGAGCATAAAAATTTAGCTAAGGTAATAATGGTTGACCCCGAGAAGATAAATAATTTAGAAAAAAGCTCAGCAATTGCGATGCATGCGCTAACACACAACCACACAATAGGATGGGAGAGGGTTAAACTTCTAAAAAGTAATCTAGGTAGGTGGAGAGAGAGGTTGATTACTGAATCTTTGTTCATCGAGTCTACACCCAACACATGCAATAGGAATGACTCGTCACTCATACCTGAAATATGGAAAATACTATTACCAATCAAATCAAGTGAAAAATAATGGGACTTTATGAATGAACTTAGGAATTTGTGTGAGTACCTTGATATGATTATGAGCAATAAATTGTGCTCGAAACGTCATCAGTAAACATTGCTGTATAACTCTGTGAGACTTTGTCAAAACAAAATCAACCCACAATGGAATTAGAACCAAACATATTTTCAGTTAAACTTATGAAATTCAAGTCTGATTCGGCAGGTGATTAAGATCTCTAAAAATAAGTTTCTTTTTAAGAGAGATAGAGAGAGACTGAATCATGCACATAAATTGATTCATTGAAAAACAACTAAGGTAGCCCTGAAGGTCTGAGTATGTTGCTCAGCGTTTATCACTACAAATTTGAAACTTATTTATTATGCTGCCAGACACAATACAACATGGCATACTTAATACTTGTGTATGAAATGTGAAATAATCAAGATATTTCGAGTTATGATTTCAAACAGTTTCCTTATCTTTGCTGACTTCATCTTATGGCATTCAGGAATGAAATAAAAGACTTTTATTACTTAATGGTTGAAATTTTCGAAACTATGAAATTAGTCACGTTAACACAGCACTGAGATAATAGAAAAGCATTAAACACGATAAATAATGCAGCTATGCTTACCTACTACCTCATCGTCTTCAAATAAACCACTGCCTGCATTGAAGAGTAAAACAGTCTGGTTAGTAAAGTCGAAATGCAAAGTAATTTCAAACAACTTATTATAAACTGTGCATCAATCGCATTGATGTTATTTGAAGTAAGCGTTTACAAATAAGAGCTAAAAATATAAGCATTATCGGTGACTATAGACAAGTTCTTTACTTGTTTAAATACTTGAATTTTACCATTAACATGAACACTGTTAAATCTCTCTCTCTGGCTAACTAGATTATGTTATTATTTTCATTATTACGCATAATATGTACACAGCTTAATGCTGTCAGCTGTAAATGATAACTAAGTTGTGCTCAGCGTGAGCTTTATTATTTTTTTCATAATGAAACTTGAATTGACTAGTCTTCATGATAGTAGACTTTACTGTGTTATCGTTTTTAATTAAAGACTGTTCTTGTAGTGAACTAAATCATATTAATAAATTTGTTAATGGATAAACGGTACCTATGGCGAAATAAATCAGTATATTGATCAATAAGTGATTGGATTAGTGAATATTGTTATCCTGATTACCTGAAACACTTTGAATAATTGCATTCAGTAGAATTAGAGTGATGTATACGCATCCAAGTCGGCAGTAAGTGGTCATTTCTCGTCAATGAGTATTTTGAAATAAAATAACCGTAAAAGTGTTTTCATTAATTTAAGTTGCTTGCTTATATAGTCAGTTATTTTTTCTGTTATATTTGTTTTGATGTGTAAGTCTAATGCAAACAGTATTAATTAATTGAAAAAGAAAACGATAAAATAATGATGAAAGTAACTTTGGTGATTTAGTCTTGTAAGTTTTCGTCTAATAACACGTGACATCGTCGGATTTTTTAAACTTTTCACCAATAAAAATGAATATATTGTACACATTTCTTTTCTGTTTTTGTTTACCCAACGAACGTTTAAGGCAAAAATAATAATTTAAGCATAAATCAACAATACGCCTTTGGGAGTATTGTTTTACACAAAGTAAATATTTATTTGCCGTTTGAATGATGTACAAATATATAAAGAAATACTATAGATTACATGTTCAGTAAATTCGATTTCATTGTTGTGATCTCCAGAACAAACAAGTTCAATTCTATCACGTGACTTCACGCTCCCACGTCCCAACAGAAACAACACCTAACTAACTTCAAAATGATTTCCCTGAAGTTCTTATAAGAGGATAATAAGGTTCACCAAACGTGTGTGGCAAGATATTCGCCAATGACAATCGATGTAAATGTCACCGTTGCGCGAAACAACAGACGTCATGACTCATGGTTGAGTGACATTAAATCCCTGTCGTCATCTAGATACAGTTCTTCATGGAAAGATAGAGTTTGCACAGCTGAAGTGTCTCACTCTAGAATGGAACGGTTATCCAATTATTCTTTTCTGTCAGTTATTCTTTAGTTGATGTCAATCCTTAAAATATCTACTCTGAAATACTTTTACACGCTTAAGCAACCATAACGTAGTCATGCAGCTGAACGTTTAGCAGTTTATAAATAAAAACCGGAACTCTGAGTTCAAAGATGTTTTATACAGCCTCCTTTACTGCCATGGCCTTAGTGTCAATTTTATTTTCTCAATATGTTGTAAAATGAACTCTACTTAGAATTTGTTTGTAATCCATTTCCACTTAATTACTCTCATGCTCACTAGCGATTATTTCCTACTGACTACCAACCACTAATTAGTTGTCAGCTCTGTCGACTATGTAAGATTATCCTCCATTCTTCATATATTGTTCATTCTGATACATTGACTTATTTTGTCTACTGTAAGCATTGGCAAATCTTCCTGTGCCTTGCTTATTGAATCCGGTACCCTCAGGATGCTGTTCTCTCTCCTCTTCTCTTTCCATTCTCTCTTACCTCTTTCGAGAAAAATCAATTTCATTAAATAGGTTGGTGATCTGGCTGTTGCTATGCCAGTTACTTCCCAGTTTCAGAATTAATGGCATTTTGTCGGCCATAAGCCAGTAGTTTAAGCTAGATCGTCTTACCTTTAATCCTCCTTAATGTCAGGCGTACACGTGATCTACAAGAACTGGTTCGTTTACAAGATTTTTGTAGCATAGATGGCAGTTAAACAGGAAATAAGTCAAGTATAAAATGCATTGGAATAGTTCCATAATATGATCTTTCTCGGACATTCCATATCCTGTCGATCTCTAAGTAAATGTTCAGTCTAACCTCGTACGACAATCAGGAATTAGTCAACCTCTACTCTCTCGGTTTGTTACCACTTGCATCTTACCTACTGTTCCTTATTGCTTACCCTTAATCATTCCTAGGCTACTCAAAAAGAGCTGTGTCAATTTGTAAAGCGCGTGTTAAACATAGTCGCATACAACTGTATCGAGTTGTGTGATATTATAATATAATATAATTCTGGGCAACAAACTGTGCTTGATGTGAACAGAGAAAGAACTACAGTTTTAGCAGAATAAAATGGTACCATCTTTTATTTCGTTGCCTTCTCGTCAGGTGCTTACAGGGCACAGACATTATTAAATATATCTACAAAAACAATTTTGACATACTTGCACAGAGTTCATTTTAAACAAAATTCAATCGATCAATATACGCATACACTATATATATATATATATATATATATATATGCAATATTAAACACTATTCCGAACAATAATAATCATACACCATGGAAACCTTTAGCATTTCGCATTCGGAAGAAAGAGAGATGAAAAATATCCAGTTACCAGGGCAAAGAAAGACTGATAACCGCTTCTTTCTGGACGCATAAATCAGGTTTCAGGTGCTTGATGGAAATGGCTTCAGCAAACTTAAGGAGAATTGAGCTCTTTTGCCTACTGATAATTTTGAACGACTTTTCGACGTCCACCTCATGACCCATGTCAAGGAGATGCCTGGAGATGGCACTGTTTAAAGCATTTGTTCCCTTTAGACGTAGGCTTTTCGGTGAATTGAAAACAAGCAATAAAGGTTAATAAAGCAGGATTTAATGAATTCATCAAATTTCGGTAGAACTCGTCAGCTGAATACTCTACATACACGGATATATACTTTTGAAATTTCATTGGGAGATATAAGACTGATAAGTAAACAAACTACATTGAATTAGTCATGCTATTATTCTAACTCTTCTTCTTCTTGTTATTATTACTATCATTATTATTATTGTTGATTCATATAAAATTATCCTTTATCAGTAGGATCATCTTAATTCACTTCAACACTATTATTAGTATTATTATTATTATAACTATTATTATTGATATTAGTCTGTTTGCAATTCTCGTTATATTCCCTAATGACTACTTGCTTATCTAAGTGATGTGATTGAAGCGTAATGCAATTTATCTTAATTTTGATCTCTCATACTCTCTCTCCCCTTATCTATTTGAACATGACCTAAAAAAACATTCTCACGTGTCTTTCTGCATGATTAATTAAATGTAGTTTGTTTACTTATCAGTCTTATATCTCACAATGAAATTTCAAAAGTATATATCCGTGTATGTAGAGTATTCAGCTGACGAGTTCTACCGAAATTTGATGAATTCATTAAATCCTGCTTTATTAACCTTTATTGCTTGTTTTCAATTCACCGAAAAGCCTACGTCTAAAGGGAACAAATGCTTTAAACAGTGCCATCTCCAGGCATCTCCTTGACATGGGTCATGAGGTGGACGTCGAAAAGTCGTTCAAAATTATCAGTAGGCAAAAGAGCTCAATTCTCCTTAAGTTTGCTGAAGCCATTTCCATCAAGCACCTGAAACCTGATTTATGCGTCCAGAAAGAAGCGGTTATCAGTTTTTCTTTGCCCTGGTAACTGGATATTTTTCATCTCTCTTTCTTCCGAATGCGAAATGTTAAAGATTTCCATGGTGTATGATTATTATTGTTCGGAATAGTGTTTAATATTGCATATATATATATATATATATATAGTGTATGCGTATATTGATCGATTGAATTTTGTTTAAAATGAACTCTGTGCAAGTATGTCAAAATTGTTTTTGTAGATATATTTAATAATGTCTTTGCCCTGTAAGCACCTGACGAGAAGGCAACGAAATAAAAGATGGTACCATTTTATTCTGCTAAAACTGTAGTTCTTTCTCTGTTCACATCAAGCACAGTTTGTTGCCCAGAATTATATTATATTATAATATCACACAACTCGATACAGTTGTGTGCAATAAATTGTGCTCAAATCATCAGTCAGTTATTGATGTAAAATAAAACTCATCTGATATAGAACAGATACCTTTGATGTTGGAAAACAGTAAATCTAAGCAAAGGGAAAACAGCCAATGTAGCAGGATAGCATTAAGTCGTTTGATGATTATTTCACTGAACATTCTGATTTTGGTCTCTGTTAGTCTCGTAGGTAAGCACTGATAAATAGTCAAAATTATAGAGGAACTAAGTGTTCAGTACTTCTCGGCTTTCAGGGATTCTCTAACTGATCACACTCCTTGCCGAAATCCCCACTGAAATAGTTGAAATCAATGCAAAACGCAAAATCTGATAATCAACCTCCAGCTCGTTAGCAGCTACAAGGTGAACATTCTGAAGTTCCACTAAGAAGTCGTTACCTGTTGTGAAGAGGATATTCAGGTATGGCATTAATTTCTGGTAGCGCCTTTAAAAGATTATAGGATTTAGAATTCTCGGATTACTAATTTTCAGTCCACTGTCTAAATTTTCTACTGGCTGTCAACATAATTTGTAGGTCCTCAGGTAGACCTCTGGTGGAGTCACAGATGATTACTTCTCTAGATTCCCGAACTAGGAAGAAACAGATGTTTAGTGTTTTATTGTTTCAAATGATTCTCTAAGTGATACGGGGTTCGTGAAGAAATATAGAGTGAGATCAGTGAAAGTCTCCACAAAACGAAAATTCGAATATATACATAATCGATTAAAAATCACGATGTTTCAGTTAAGTTAATGTTGTCCATTTAATGAAACCCCTTTAATCCTCATTATCTATACTGCATACATTAATTTTTATAGAATATTTTGTGTAGTTATAGCCTGTTATTCATGAAAGCTCTTAGAAGTCTTTGATTTGCCATCAGTAATTAAATGCGATTCGTATCGGGAAATAAATGTTTTCAGTGTGATATATGCTAGCACTTGCCATAAATAAAGGTTGGCAGTTTAAAACGTTTCAGACGCTTAAGTACTTTGATGAAATCAGGATTTCTGATGATGCCTAAATTAAATATGAATTCATTATCCTCTTCTTACTACTGTTTTTCTGTTAGAAGTAAGTAGAATCAAATAAATCTAGACTCAGGAATCATATGGCGTCGGTGGCACAGTGGTTAGGACTCTCGCCGACCATGCACATGGTCCGGGGTTCGAGCCCTCGCCGACGCACACCTGATATCTATGGTTGGCCTGCGAATTTTGGGCTACCGATATCCATGCTGAAAATTCCATACTTGTACCAAAAATACGGTGTGGAATCAAGCTGTAACCATAAAATAAAAAAAAAATATTGACAAGTGGGCAACAATGTAAGTGTTGGCTAATATTCTGTATGATAGTTAGACTAATCGAGTTAATATTAGAATCGATATCCTACTATGATTCAAAAGCGCAGAGCAACCCCAGCAGTGAGGCAAGCTTATGAGAGAGATGAAACTCAATAAAACGTACTGAGCATATGTAAAGACTAAAACTATTCCTTTTTGAGCACACAACACAAGTTCTTGTAATGAAGACTATTTTTTGTTAATAACCACTGTAAGAGTTTATTGGAGCTGCTATTAATAAGGCGTGAATTGAAGAGAACACTCACAATTTTATATCTTAG